TATTTACTCAGTGGAAATCAAATTCAATATATTAAAATATGATTTAATTATAGTTGAATGAGAATTTGGTGAAATAAATTTATTTATTATATGATATTGATTCAGCGAACATGAAATTGAATAACTTAAATATATGATTTCGTTGTAGCTGAATGAAAATGTCCTAAAATAGATTAATTTATTATATGATATTTATTCAACGGAAACCAAATTCAATCTATTGAAATATGATTTAATTGTAGTTGAATGAAGATCTGACGAAGTTAATTAATTTATTATATAATATTTATTCAGTGAAAATCAAATTCGATATGTATAAATTGAATTTATTGATAATTGAATGAACATCTGATGAAATAAATTTATTTATTGTATAATATTTATTCAGTAGAGATCAAGTTCAGTATGTTAAAATACGATTTGATTATGGTTGAATGGTTTATGTGGTTTGTTTGTATATTCGGTTAGAATGAAATTTTCTACAGAAAGCCCGTTAATGTATAGAGATGAATGAGCATGGGAATGTTTTTCTGATTGTTTGTATTTGTGTTTTATGCATATGTGTCAGGCAAATTTGGTATTCAGGCAAAATCGAACTAATGATAAAATTTGTTGTTTTGAAAATATTGGATACAATTTTGCCTAGTCAAAATTAAGTCTCTGCATAATTGAAATTAAACACCAAATTGGTATATTGGCTTCAATATTGTTCTGAAGTTTTTTTTTTCATTAAATTCTTTTTATCGTTTACTAAAATTTTTTATTTATTTTTAATGATGGAGACATGGGGACATTGACGATTGGGGGTCTACGAAAATTGGTCGAACGAAAAATGATAGAATGAAAATTAGCCGCCGATAATTGGTCGCTACGAAAATTAGTCGCTACGAAAATTAGTCGTTACGAAAATTGGTTGATATGAATATCAGTCGCTATGTAAAATAGTCAACACATTCATGATTAAATGAAAAAATATTTGAAATTGAAAATTTTAGTGAGACGAGTAAATTAAGCAATGAGAAAAAAGTGACAAAAGCGATAATAAGTAAATTCTCTATACTATCACAAGTTAAGCTTAATTTCTTTATGATTAGGTTAATAGATTACCAGTAGGTTATAAAAAATCAAGATATTATAGTAGTTCAGCTTTTTGTTTTTCGTTAAAATGTCAACATTTATATTAAGTAAAACCCAAAGAAGCAAACCTTTATTACTCTGTAATGGCCTTAATTATACTATCGACAAAACAACTGATGATAAAATTTATTGGAAATACGAGTTTGCTCGAACGCTTAAATGTAAAGGTCGAGTTCATACTAATTCTCTTAATACCATTATATCACATGAAACTAATAACCATAATCATCTTGGAAATGCTGTTTCAAGTGAAATTCGAATATTTGAAGAAAAAATTCGTGATCGTACTATTAACTATAATGAATCTACACAAACTATCATTGATAATTGTTTAACGAATTTATCGGATAGTACTGTAGTACGTATTCCAAACTTTAAACATATAAAAATTCATATTTATTTCATTATTTTTTTTTGTATCTATCAGCTTTTTTGTATTTATTTTGGTCTTTTCTTTTTTGTATCTATCTTACTGGTATCTATTCAATAATTTGTTTTCTCTAACGTTGTTCCATTAAAATAATTACTGTTAGTGTTGTACTTCAATTATAAATTTGTCGACTAATATTCGTATCAACCAATTTTCGTAACGGCGAATTTTCGTAATGACTGATTTTCGTAGCGACTAATTTTCGTAGCAACCAATTATCGGCGGCTAATTTTCGTTCTATCATTTTTCGTTCGACCAATTTTCGCTTTCCCGACGATTGGTTAGATTTTTTTCATCAATTCTTTTTCCTTTGCAAAAATTATCTATTTTTTTTAATGATGGCGACATGGGGATATTGATAATTGGTTAGATTTTTTTTATCAATTTTTTTTTCGTTTGCAAAAATTATTTATTTTTTTTAATGATGGGGACATGGGGACATTGACGATTGGTTAGATTTTTTTATCCATTTTTTTTTTCATTTTCAAAAATTATCTATTTTTTTCGATGATGGGGACATGGAGACATTGACGATTGGTTAGATTTTTTTCATCAATTTTCTTTTCATTTACAAAAAGTTCGTATTTTCTGCAATGATGGGGACGTAGCGATTTCGGATGTTTGGTGAAATTTTATCGCGTAGTCTTTTTTTTTAATTCAATGACATTGCTTGTTATTTTCATCAGAGGAACAGCGGATACTTGGTTGAGCTTCAACGAGTAGTAAGCTTTTTATCAGCAGCGTCTATAATGTGTTTGGGCTGTTTTCTTCTAAGTTTTTCCGTTTTATATCATTTTGTTTTTAGTGAGTAATTAATTGATTATTATGGTAGAATGATTGATTAAGAAAATGACTTTAGCATGGTTCAAAACCTGTTTCATCTGGTTTTATATATAAAAATGATTATCACTCAAAAGTTTTCGGATATCATGTTTCATCAAGACTTGGGTCGATGGAAGTTCGCTTCTCACTAATCGATAAATTCAATAAAAAGCTGTTTAGAGAATTTGTATAGATTTTCAAAATTGCCTTGGTTTTTTTGTAAACATTATTTTGAATTTCATACAAATTATTAGCATATACTGTGACCGATTCGAGCTAGGGTTTTGGGAGTTTGGAAAAAATTTAATAATATTGGTACAATAGAGATAAACTGTTTTTCGAGTTTGACATACTGAGCATTGTGCGATAAATATTTGTAACGATGAGCGATTTATCCAATTGTAATTTGTAGCAATATATGCGAGACATTTGTCTCGATCATCATAAGCAATCTTATGATGGCTTGTCTGATTGATATCGAACATATCCTGATATAAAAGAACAGGTTTAACTTCTTTAAAATCACATAACAGTTGATGACTGCTGATGAGATGAAGCGTGAATGTTTGTTTACACCAGCGAGAAAAACGTCTGGAAACTTTTTCAGTAGGTAACTTGCTCTGAAGTACTTAAGTTAGTCCAAAAGTAGTGGCGCAGGCATATCAATTCCTTATAGAAAGCTCTGAGAAAGTTTTTTTTTCTATATAGTCTGATAGAGAAAAGAAAGCTCTATTTTTCTATGCTATCTGATCATACTTTAACTAATACCATGATAATAAATTTTTCGTAAGACTTTTTCTGTTAACGTGTTTCCTCGTTGTACTAGCTCACAATGAGTCAGATGGGTTAGTTTTTTAGTTCACTAATACATTGTATTAATAACCAAAATATACCATAAGATGCAGCATGAAAGGCTCTACAATTTTCATAAGACCACGTATTTACTAGTTGCAGTTTTTGTTTTCAAAATGGACAAAGTTTTGAGTGATCGAGCTTTGGCTGTTGTAAAAACTGATCGTATAGAATTTTTCTTTTCCTCAAAACAATTACAATAAACTTTACTAGGTAGATTGTAGAACTTTTCACCCTGCATCTTCTGGTGTACTTTGTTTTTCTTTTGATAAGGCGTATCAGCTGATAAAATGATCAGATAACAAAAAATGAATTCGTTGTGTATCAAAAACATTATCTTTTTCATGGTCGAAATTTGATCGGTCAAAATTTAGTCTATTTTAAGACCAAAATGTACAACTAGAAAATAAATGGTCTTATGGAAATTGAAGAACTTTTCATGTTGCATCTTATGACATATTTTGGTTGTTAATGCAGCTAATAAGGAATTGAAAACTGCGACGTACAACTTACAACGAGGAAACATGTTAACGAAAAAAGTCTTACGAAAAATTGATTATCATGGTATTAGTTAAAGTATGATCAAATAGCATAGAAAAATAGAGCTTTCTTTTCTCTCTCAGACTATATAGAAAAAAAACTTTCACAGAGCTTTCTATAAGGAATTGATATGCCTGTGCCACTACTTTTGGACTGACCTAAGTACATTGATTATTTTTTCGCTTTGATCACGAGTTTTAACACCTTTATTACGAAGTTCAGGATTTAAATTATCAATATGTTTTTAAGGGAGGTCAGAAAATTTTTCACATGGAAAATCATGAATATTATGATGCGAAGAGTTTGTTTCTTGCAATGACATTGTTGATATCGCAAAAACAATATGTTGAAAACTATTTAGTGCTCAATGAATTTTGTTTAAGAAAATGAAAAAAAAATGGTAATTAAATAATATAAAATAATCATATAAACAGCTAACGAATTCTGCCTAGGCAAACTTGAAATTGATAGAAGCGCCAAAGAAAAAACTAATTTTGCCTGTGACATATGCAATGGGAGTGATTGATTTCTCTTTTTGCGAGAGAACGAATGTGCGGAAGATTTTTGAAATATTTCCTGTGCTTTTGTTCTATTGGTTTGCGATAAGTTATTATTTGACATTGAATAGATTTGGTAAGGCGGTCTGATTAGAATTGAATAAATATTTAGTGTTAATATTCAAATGAAATATTATGGAGAGTGAATAGTGAAATAGTAAGAAAAGTTTGGGTTTTTTCACGAAAATTGAATGAATTTTTGGCATGTATTATTCATTTGACATGTTATATTTATATTGTAGATTATCGCCATATGTGAAAAACTTGAATCAGTTAGAGATATTTCTATAAACTTTGATCCAGTTCGGATTTAATACTCGTTATTCGTAATTTTAGAATTTGATCACTAGTTTTGGTATTGAAGGAATTATGAATTGCACTCCATAAAAGACTGATTGAATAAAGATTATTTTACCAGCGTTACTTTCAAAAGATGTATTTCTGACAGACAATATGAACTGGAGAAGGCGTAAATGATTTGAAATATTCAAAAATCAAATGTGTCCGAATGAAAGAGTATGATGTAGAATCTTTTGTAGGAAGCATATTCTCTAAATGTATCAAGATTATTAGGAATAAATAATTCGTCATTCAATATCGATTTATATTATCGAATAAAAAGGAAAAAAGTCTTATTGTAAGAGTCACAAAAACATGAACGTAAAAAGAAAGGTCTATATTTTTCACTTTCCTGCTCTATGATGGTATTCATATGAAAAAACAACTGGCACCAAGACTAGTTCTACTGATCACACAGAAATTTATTTAAAAAACAGTTTTCAGCATGCCCAATCAGTTAGACTATTGTTATCAACGGTGAAACATTATACCAGTATGCGTGAAAGTACGAGGGTAGCCCGCAAGAGAGTTCACTATTGAGCAAGGTTTCATCTCAAGCCTCAGTCTGTTGTCTGTATATCGATATTTTGTCGGTAGGTCGGATTTTCTCTTATAAACTGACGGGTGTGGATGTGGTTGCGGATGTGGATGAGCCTAGAGAAGGGAATTACTCACATTTACACCCACACTCCACATCCACACCACTCACACCACTCACACCCACACCTCACACCCACACCACTCACACCCACACCCACATCTACACCACTCACACCCACACCCACACCCACACCCACACCCACACCCACACCCACACCCACACCCACTCACACCCACACCCACACACACCCGTAATACACCTTTTTTCAAAACTAGCAATGCAAGTCACAGAGCGTGCAAAATTAATCTTAAGCCTTCACCTGATGAGAATAAATGTGGATCATTGTATCAACGAGAGCCTATTTGTGTTGGTGCACATGTTCTTATAAGACGAAACATTGATCAAGATATTCATGTTGTCAATAGAACTGATGGTGTAATCGCAGAGATTGTTTGGGAAGATTCTACAGACTTTCTTTCAGCACCAACAACGACCGCAGACAAATTTTCTGGATTACCAAATGTCATTAATACGAAACTGCCTAAACATATAGAGCTAAGTAAAACTATAAAAGTTTCGATAATGAAATATTAAAATTAAAAATGAATCTTTAGAACTTTTCAATGGTCAGACATATAAATTAGAACCACAAGAAACAAGATTTAATGATATGAATAATATAAGCATGACTCGTTAACAAATACCACTGGCACTTGGTTATGCTATAACCAGACATAGAACTCAATGCATGACATATTCAAAATTAGTTATAGATCTTAGTCGTAAATATTGGAAACCTGGCATGTTTTACACAGTTCTCAGTACAACTTGTCAAATTACTTATATTATTATATTAGCATACGATCGAAAATCTTTTAAGGCATTTAATTTTAACTAAATAGATTTATTTCTTTATGTAATAGTATTTAGATTTCAAAGGAAGGGTTAAAAGAAATCGAACGTTTATAGAGAATCGAAAAAGAAAATCGTATTAAAATTGATGACTATTTTGATGAAACAGTAAGAAAATCCTATTTGATATTAAAATCAAAAGTTTGCCTTTTAACACTCAGTACCATATTCATGATCCAAACGCTAGCTATACATCCAATACGGATACTACAGAAAAAACAAATGTCAAATTACAATATAGAAGAAGATATGCTTGTAAACGAATTAAATTTACTAACAATATTAACTTTATAGATAATTATGATCGTGCTGACGATGTTATTATACCTGAAGATGTTATAGTTTGTGAGAAACAAGAACTTTTGTTTTGTGGTCGTCATGCTCTTAGAGCACTTGTGCAAAATGTAGAAATATTTGATGATACAAATTTAATTAGTTTAGCAAAAGAACTTGCAACACAAGAAATAGTACTCCATCAAGATATAAGTATATACCAAGAATTTTATTTCAATCATGTCACTGGTTATTATCACATTGAAATTACTTAAAAATGCTCTTAAACGACAGTATAATATTGAACTTGTACGATTAACTAACATGAATGAAACTTCAAATGACCATTACAAATTGATAATAAATCATATTCACGATGTGAAAGCATTGTTGGTTCATCTAGATGATCATTATTTCTGTCTAACGAGGAAAGGCCACCAACTGCCTACTCGTTTTTGAGCTGAAACTCAGTTGACAATAGATAATCGAACGTCCAATGTAAAAGAAAAGTGAACCAAAAGTCACTTTTTATCACTTTTAGTAGTAATAAAGTAAAACAAAGTAACTTTTCTTACTATTTTTCACTTTTTATAGTACTTTTTGATAATTTTTCCACTTTCTATAGTACTTCCTCATACTTTTCCTACTTTCAAAAGTACTTAACAGTACTTTTTAGTCAAAAGTATGAAAAGTACTTAAAAAGATTCACTTATAAGTACTTTTTCCTACTTAAAACCTACTATTGAAAGTACTTAATAGTCACTTTTTTGGATAAAAATTTTTACATGAGGTGCTGATTCCGAATATCACAATGGTTTTTGCCCGCTTTCGATTTAAAGACCAGTTTTTTAAAGATCCTGATTTTTCAACAGAAAAACCATTTTCACTAAAAAATTTTCTTGACCTGTCCACATGAAAGAGCACGTCGTCAAACCTACAGAAAGCAATTTTTCAAGGTTCTAAGCGAGGTTTCGAGCGAGTTTTCTGCGTCTAAAACTTAAAAAAGAGGGAAAAATCGCTAATATTCTTACACAATTTATGAAAGAAAAACTACTGTTTCTCTTTCTGTCCTATTTTTTTACTTATCAAAGGCTTTTAAATTTTAGACGCAGAAAACTCGCTCAAAACCTCGCTTAGAACCTTGAAAAATTGTTTTCTGTAGGTTTGACGACGTGCTCTTTCATGTGGACAGGTCAAGAAAATTTTTTAATGAAAATGGTTTTTCGGTTGAAAAATCAAGGTCTTTAAAAAACGGGTCTTTAAATCGAAAGCGGGCAAAAACCATTGTGATATTCGGAATTAGCACGTTCGATTATCTATCGTCAACTGAGTTTCAGCTCAAAAGCGAGGAGGCAGTCGGTGACCTTCCCTCGTAAGAAGATTCGATAATACTATAAATTATTTTTTTATCATTGATTCTCTCTCACATGAAAAACATAAAACTAAACCGCCTAATTATATTCTTGATTATATTAAGTATTTACTTGCTTGCGATACTACAATATATGTACCTGCATCTGCTGATACATTAAAAACGCAAAAT